TTTGATAGAACAACTACACAAATGATCAACAAGGAAGGAAAATAATTCTATATACCAGTTCTCTCTGTGTATATAGAACACTTCACCCAACAATAGTAGAATATACATTCTTCTCAATGGAACTGCCTCTAGAATGCAACATATACTGGGCCATAAAACAAACACATTTTATTAGAAGGATTAAAATAATTCAAATCATGCCTCTGACCATAGTGGAATGGAATTAAAATTCAATAGCAAGGAAAAAATGTGGAAACTCACAAATATGTGGAAATTAAAAAACTCTAAATAACCAATAAGTTAATTACCAAAGAAGAAACTAAGAAATTAATAGGGAAATCAGAAACTTTGACATGAATAAAAAGGAAAACAACATACCAAAACTTATGGGATACTGTTAAAGCAGCATTCTCAACTTGTAGGTCGCGACCCCTTTGGGGGTCTAATGACCCTTTCACAGGGGTCGCCTAACACAATCAGAAAACACATATATAATTGCATATTGTTTTTGTGATTAATCACTATGCTTTAATAATGTTCAATTTGTAACAATGAAAATACATCCTGCATATCAGATATTTACATTATGATTCATAACAGTAGCAAAATTATAGTTATGAAGTAGCAACGAAAATAATTTTATGGTTCGGGTCACCACAACATGAGGAACTGTATTAAAGTGTCACGGCATTAGGAAGGTTGAGAACCACTGCTGTTAAAGTAATGCTTAGAGATAAGTTTATAGCTATAAATGCATATATCAAGAAAGATTTCAAATCAATAACCTAATCTACCTTGAGACAATATAAAAAGAAGAGCAAACTAAACCTAAAAGAAGAAGATGAATGGAAATAATAAAGATAAGAGAGGAAATTAATGAGTGAAGTTAATTAAAGAAAAGAACCAATGGAACCAATAGCTGGTTCTTCAGAAAGAACAGCGAATTTGAGAATCATTTATACGGACCAAGAAAAAAGAGAAAACTCAAAGAAACACTGAACAATTATATGCCAATAAATTAGATAATTTACATGAAATGGATAATTTCTAGGGAGACACTAACTACTGAAACTGACTTAAGAAAAAAAGGCAAAATGAATAAACCTAAAACTAATAAAGAGATTGAATTTAATAATCAAAAAACTATCCAGGAAAAAAAATAAAGCCCAGGCCAGGATGGTTTTACCAGTGAACTCCACCAAACATTTAAAGAAGAACCAATACCAGTTTTTCACAAACTTGTTAAAAAATTAGAAGAAGAGGGAACACTTCTCAACTCGTTCTATTATGCCAATATTACCCTACTGTCAAAGGTAAACATCACAAGAAAGAACTGCAGACTGGTATCTCTAACAGATACGGACACAAAAATCTTTAACAAAAAAAACGAGCACACCAAAAACTAGCATATATTAAGAAGAATTATAACCATGGCTAACTGGGATTTTACCCTAGCAATGCAGGGTTGGTTTAACATTAAGAATTCAATTAATATACCACATCCATAGAACAACATCATCAAATATTTTTTAAAAGCTCATGGTCATCTCAGTAGATGTAAAACAAATATTTGACAAAATCCAATACCTTTTCACAACAATGCTCATCAGACTGAGTGTAATGAGCTTTGTCCGCCTGATAAAGGGCATTCTACAAAACCCCACAGTTAACATCAAGCCTGTCCATTCTCACTACTTCTATTCAACATTGTCATAAAAGTTCTAGCCAAGACAACTAGGCAAGAAAAAGAATAAAAGGCATCCAGATTATGGAAAGGAAGAAGTAAAACTATCTATAAAACTATCTGTTGCAGATGACATAAACTTTTATATAGAAAACTTAAGGACTCCACTCGAAAACTTAAAGATTCCACTAATAAATGAGTTCAGTAGGGTTATGGGATACAAGATCATTGTACAAAAACCAGGTGTATTCTTACTCACTTGCAATGAACAATCCCAAAATGAACTTAGGGAAAACAATTCCATTTACAATAGTATAAAAAAGAATAAAGTACTTAGACATGCAAATATTGAAAGCTATAAAACATTGTGTAAAGAATGATGATGAAAGACCATCCCAGGTTCATGGATCAGAAGACTTACCGTATTTGCCGGTGTATAAGACGACTGGGCGTATAAGACGACCCCCTAACATTTCCACTCAAAATAGAGTTTGTTATATACTCGCCGTATAAGACTACCCCCTCTTCCGCACACCTTCCACACACCAAATAAAAGGTAAAACAATATCAGATTTGATTTTAACATTTTAATTTATAAAAGCCTTCAAACTCCTCTTCATCATCTGATATTAAAAGTTCATCAACGACATCTTGGTGCCATGATAGGGATGATAGGGGTTTGACTGGTCGACATTTTCTATGCTGTACTGTACAATGGGGCAGTATTGTGGTTGGCTGTTGGCTGTATACAAAGCCTGATTTGATTGGTCCCTGCTCCCTGTTTGCCCGCCCTGTCACTATAGCAGTCTGGTCCACCCTTGCATCAGCATCTCCCTGGGACCTCACTAGTGCGCAAGTGCGAGCTCTTCAACATTCTAACAGGCACCATGATAGCGCAAAATCGCGAATCTTCAATGCATATGTAAAGAAATATACGGTAACCCGAATTTACCACACTCGCAAAATCGCACACAGCCAACCATACACCCAGTATGGTATCGCGATTCGTGATTTTGCGCTATCATACTGGGTGTATGGTCGGCTGTGTGCGATTTTGCGAGTGTGGTAAAATCGCATAACAGCAAAATCGCATAACAGCCGAGCGTACACCCAGCAGCGCTGCTGATGCCTGAACGGTATGTGGAATGAAGTGGGCGGGCATCGGGAGGCCACTATGGCACGGGGCAAGCACTATGGGCAGTCTATCTGAAGTGTACCTGGCGTATAAGACGACCCCCCACTTGGAGGCATATTTTTCAGGGCCAAAAAATCGTCTTATATGCCGGCAAATACGGTAATATTGTTAAGATGGAAACATTCTCTCAAATCGACCTACTAATTTAGCCCAGTCCCTCTTAGAATCCTAGTTTACTTCTTTTGTAGATACTTACTAGTGATCCTAAAGTTAATTTGGAATTTCGAGGGATTCAGAATAGCCAGGAAAATCTCAATTTCACAACTGGCTATAAAAAAGGAAGTAAGACAGTATGGTAGATAGACATATAGGTCAATGGAATAGAATTGAGGTTCTAGAAATAAACCTATCTATCATTGGTCAACAGATCTTCCACTAGGATGCCATGCCTGTTCAATGGAAAAAGAGTAGTCTTTTCAAAAAATAGTGCTGGGGCAACTAGATATCCACATGCCAATATATAAAAACTAATTCAAAATGGATCTAAGACCTAAGCATATGAGCTTAATTTATAAATCTTTTCAAAGGAAACATAGGGGTCAATCTTAGTGATCTCAGATTTGTCAATGGATCCTTTGCTATGATACCAAAAACTCAAGCAACAAAAGACAAAAATAGATAATTTGATTGTATCAGAATTTAGAATTTGTGCCTCTAAGGACGCTAGTAAGAAAGTGAGAAAACATTCCACAGAGCATATGAAAAACACACACAACTCAAGAAGACAGTTAATTTAAAAATGGGCAAGCTATTTGAATAGCTGTTTCCCTCCAGAAGGTATACACATGCCAGTAAGCACATGAAAAATGCTTAACATCATTAATTGTCAGGAAAATGGGAATCAAAACCACAGTGAGCAAGATACCACTTCACATCCTTGAGATGGATTTAATAATGAAAAAGACAAGTGTTAGTGGAGTGTAATAAGTGTAAACGAGGCTGTGAGACAGTCTGATAGTTCCTCAAAAGGTTAAACATACAGTTACACTATAACCTAGCAGATCCACTCCTAGGTTTATGTCCAAAAGAAATGAACACAAAAGCTTATATATGAATGTTCATATATTTAGAGAGAAAGTAGATTAGTGATTGCTTAGGGATAGAGGGAATGCAGTTATAGGGAGGGGTGATAGCTAAGGGATATGGGATTTATTTTTGAGGTGATAAAAATATTCCAAAATAATGATGGTTGAAAATATCTGTGAATATAAAAACCACTGAATTGTACATTTAAGACAGGAGCCTAGTTTGCCTCTGTAAGGCAAAGCATGTGGTTGCAGGTGCTGTTAGATGGATAGGTGCCGCAGGGGCAGTTTACAGAGCTTCCGAACTTTTTAATCCTCACGTCAAGCCTGTGAATGAGACACCATTATTATTACCATTTGAACACGAGGAAGCAGACTTATTTAAATGATGAAGTCAATTTCACAATAGGAATATCACAGTACAGAAATAACCTACTTTGGACAGGTCAGTGCTCTTGTTGGCATTTCTGAATGGTGATTTAAAACTGGCCTTCTATTTCTTCTATCTGAGAAAACTAAGTTACAATCTGAGGCTTCTCTCTGCACCAGAAGAAAGATTTTTTGGCAAATAAATCTTTCTGTTTTCAAATCACTTTTTTTTCTTCCTACAATATCCTCAGAAGAGGCTAGAAAGTTATGTAATGCTATCAGGCCAACCGTTGTCTTGAAAGTGTTGTCCTTGTGAAAATCAGTTTCTTAGGACAGATGAATGCCCATGCAGTCCTTTTCTTCACGGTATTTGGGAATCGAAAGTAAAATCTTTTCTTTGTTACAGATGGCAGCTACTCTGCTGTTATTAGTTGTGGCTTGTCTCTAGTCATGAAATCTCTTTATTTCTGCTGAGAGAGTCTTAGCCCTAATGGAGGCTTCTGCCCAATACATTTGAAGGAAAACCTCACTGGGTTTTATAGTGCTCAGCCTCCTAAAAAAGGAAGCTGAGCACGAGTTAAATGAGTAACAACTCAAGGTGACATTTCTTATGACTCAATTTGCTTATTTCACACGTGGGAGGAGGGTGTAAATATTTAGAAACACACGGCATTGTTTTATGGAACATTGTGAATTTAAAATATATTTATATTAATATTGTCTATAGGTTCTTTCCAGTCTCAGAAAAACTTATTCCACAAAATTGTCAGCAAATATAAGCACAAAAAGGAGAAGCCTAATGTTCCAGAAAAAGGTATTGGTGCCTTCCATCCTCCATTAAGGTGTCTTGGCCACCTCCATTGCGAATTCATCTTTGAGCAATGCTTCGCGCACTGGCTTCGCCTTGGCCTCCCCTTGGCTTGCTTCACTGTCATCAGCTCCTGATGCAGGCATATTCATTATCTCTAGATTCTGCAGCTAATTGCAAAGAGAGCTCCTTCACATGGATTTCTACTCAAATCCCGTATTTGTCTCTAGTTTCAGAGTTCCATATGAAACCTAAAATTGCTTTTTCTCATCTATATTTTGGTGCATTTTGTAATTTAGTTTTCTTGAACCCTTATCCCCCCCCCCCTTTTTTTTTGACTACTCTCTTTTTTCTCATGTTCAGCAGCCTTCATTCCAGGACCACATTTTCCTCCTGAAACCGTACTTGTTTCATGTGAAAGTCCCATGATTTCTTTATTTTCTCTGACACTTGAGGATTCTTGTCGAGGAGGATTTCACTCCTAAGTCATAACCTCCCCCCCACCCCCCCGCCCCAACTATGTACTTCATCATTTGCCCAACTCTTCTTTCTACCTCCTTCAGTCCCGTAACTTTTATTTCCAGAGGGCACTAGAGATGTATTGCACTCTCCCCTCCTTTACTCTGAACCTCTGTGTCAGTGTTGCAATCTTGATGGGCCTTTGAGCCTCGTCAGGGCTCATCTGAAGGTTTTTTTGGTTTTTTTTCCTTCTCACAGTTCGGGACTCCCACTCTTCTTTCACAGGAAAGATAAATCTCTCCGTTTCGTTCAATACAGCCGTGTGTCCTGAGAGTCAGGCTCTCTTTAGCATCTTCCCCGCATGCTAGTGTCGTGACTGCCATGGGCCTTCTCATCCGGTGCCCATTTGCATCTCCTTGCATGGCCAGATGGGAAGCCTTTCGGGCTGCTGGGGGAGGCTTCAGATGCAGCTGTCTTCCGTGTGCAGACACATGTGCCTGTGTGCTCCTGTATGTAACCTTTTACTTAATTGGGGTTTATTTTCACCTCCACTTCAGTCGTGTAGTTTTGTTTTGTATGTGTTATTTTTCTCTGCTTCCAGTGGAGAAACATCACTCTTTAGGTAAATGTGAACTTGCATCATTCCCTCTTAACTGGTCTTCAGATTTTCTTGATTAAAGTCATAGAATTTACCAACAATGTATTTCATAAAAGGTAAATTTGTTTATTTTTATTTAATCCATTTCCTGTATAGCCTAATTATTTTAGTTGAGAATTAAACAGTTGAAATGAAATTCTGCTTTATTTGTGTGATAGTGCTTTTTATTTAAGTTATTTTGTATATTGTCTTATTTTTGTAGTGTATATATCTATACTGGGAGTAGAGTTTCACTCTCCTTTTTGTCATTGTTTTTAGGAAGTGGGGATAAATGGTCAAACAAGCAATTCTTCTTGGATGCCATTCACCCTACAGAAGGTAAAAAAAAAAAAAGCAATATTCATTATATCATTTCAGATCATCTGTGCTGGTAAAGGCACAATTTTAATATGTTTAAAAAGTGTAATTTACATGGGCTCCACCAACAGCATTAGACCTGAGTGTTCATAATTGGGTTATTTTAAATTTTCAAATCAAAACTGGTATTTTTTGACCCTGCTCAGGGTCAGGCAATCTGTCATATGGAGTTTAATTTGTTGAAAGGAGATTTATAACCTTTGAGCCACATTAATGAGATTTTTCATAAATAAAAACACTTAGCTTTGCAGTCATGTTGCAGGCACATGTTCATGGGAGTAAGAACAGGGCTAGCATGGGGCTGTCCTGGTGGCTGGGCATGGACAGGCATGCAGAAATGGTTCCTGGCCTGGCCTTTTTTTCTAGTCAACCTCCCAGTGCCTGTAAATATGTTTAAACTGGAGGCCCGGTGCATGAAATTCATTCACAGGTGGGGTCCTAGGCCTGGCCAGCGATCAGAGCCTATCAGGACCATCTCGCCCAGTCCTGATTGGGGTGGGCCAGCCAGTGTCTGCCAGCTGCTGGATGGGGCCTTCCGAAGGGGTCTGCCGGATGGGGGTGGGGGGCCGTGGGAGATTTGCCGGCCTGGGGGAAGGACCAGGGGAGGTTGGCTGGCTGTGTGAGGTTGGCTGGAGCGCACTGACCACCAGGGGCCAGTTTCTGCATTGAGCGTCTGCCCTCTGGTGGTCAGTGTGCATCATAACAACTGGTTGTTCCAGTGGTAATGGTCACTTAGGCTTTTATATATATATAGATGGATTGCCTCTGAGGCCTATGTATAGCCCAAAAAAGGCTCCGTAATAAGACCGTATAATGTTACAGGTCTAAGTATAGATTTTTATGTCAGAATTTCTCACAATTATATTTATTTGTGATATTATCTAATTTCTATTAAATATAGACCCTCAGGTGAATGCTCATTTCTGTGATGGTTAAGGAGCCACCCTCCCCCTTCTTCCCGTTGATTCTCTTTTTTTCACTGTAGATAATTTTAAAGAGCTGACCATTTTCATAGTGCTTAATTAGTTGATTCATTTGAAAACTAGAAGGGATTTTAGAGGTCATCCTGTTCAACCTGTTTGATTTATTTATGGCTGGAAGAGGGAACTTAATGATGAGTAGCCCACGTCTCTGGACTCCCAAATACACTCTCATTTCCTTACTAAAAAGGAGAAAAAAATTAAAATGCTCATTTAGCCTAAATCATTTATTAAAAATACCTATGTTTTAAAGATATTTATAAAAAATATACAAATTTGAGCTTATTGTAAACACGGAATTTTTTTGTTTGGTAGGTACTGGTTACATGGGCCACATGGCTGCTTTTATACCATTTACTTTTACAGAAAATGCCAGCAGCATGTCTGTTTTCTGACCTGTCACTTCACATCACAACCTCTGGGCAGTGTCATTTCTGCACTTAAGCTGGCAGAACAAAATATGAATTGTTGTGCTGCTCTCAGAATTAAATTTTGACATCCCAAAATTGATATATATTAGCTCTTGTGTATTAAAAATAGATTCTACACAGATTTGATAAATAGTGTAAGGCGCTGATAAGTAATCTAAAAGAAGTATTTAAGAAAGACCACAATACATTTTTTTAGTGATACTGCTCTAAATATTTTGTGTTTTTAAACAATGAAAACCCTACCTCATATAAAAGGGGTTATAACATGTGCAGTGTGGTAGAAAGCATGAATTAGGTAGGAATTAGGAGACCTGGGTGCTGGTCTCAGATTCACCACTAGAGAGCTCGTTTCAGTAGAACAGATTGTTTAGCCTCACTAGGATTCACTGTCTGTGTTGGTGCTAAGTGTGAATGTGAGTCATGTATTAGGGGTGGGTAAATGGTGAGGTGTGCTAATACATAAATTCTATTTCCCTTCTAACACTTGATGATTTTATTATGTGATTTCCTGAAAGTAGGTTAATTTGGAAGCCCTACTTTTCTGCCATTTCGGAAACAGAAAAGTAAATCAATTTTGAGTCTTCTAGGCAGACCCAAGGGTTTAGTTGGAAATAGAGTTATTATTGGTGATATTTAATTATCCTTATTATTAATGTATATGAAACAAAACTTTAGAGAACATGCACTAAAAATTGCATGCCCTGCAGTGTAGAGTGTAAATTATTTTACGTGGCCAGAAAAAAGGAATAGGTTTGAGCTTTGGAAATTACCAGTAATTTAAAGTGACCTTTTCTTGTTACTTATTTTCATACCATCCCCTACATTTACTTGTTTGGGTGGTAAACAGTGTACTTTGTGAATTATCTCAGCTCTTCATTCTCTCTCTCACCTGTGGCCATATCACTGCTTATTAAAACTTTACTTTTGAGAGTGTAAAAATATAAGAAAATGAAACTGTAATCAGGATAATTGTAGGGTGTGTAAACCACCCTAGGCAAAGGTTAGGCAGGAATTGTTTGTAATTGATATCTGTATAGAAATGTTGACTTAACTGAGGCCACAACTGTTAACTGTCCCTGATTTCTGTTAAAGTGGACGATTTAAAGGTCATTATGTTTTCTTTATATCATCCCAAGTATAATTGGATTACCATTTGTATTTTTTTTTTTCAAAATATCAGAAATTGCCTGGCAATTGTAGCTCAGTGGTTGAGTTTTGATCTATGAACCAGGAGGTCAGGGTTCGATTGCCTGTCAGAGCACATGCCCAGATTGCCAGCTCGATCCCCAGTAGGAGGTGTGAGAGGATTAATGATTCTCTGTCATCATTGATGTTTGTATCTCTCCCTTTCCCTTTCTGAAATTAACAGTTTTTTAAAATCAGAAATCTTTAGGTGATTAGTCATCATATCTGAGGCTTAAGTGCTAAGCTTATAATCTGGTTTAAACATTTCCACCCAAGCTTTTCAAAATCACTAAACCATTTCTGCAAATTTCTGTAGATCACAAAAAAAAAAAAATATAATATAAACCAAGACAACCTACCTCTGTCACTTTATCTTTCCACCAAGTTATGGTGTCATGCTCATTCTGAAGCTACGTAATACTTAATATTACATTATAGTTTCCAGAGGACTTTTACATAATTTTTTTTGCGAAAACTAATCTTCACATCAGCCTTGGTGAAGTAAGAAGTGCTTATTAGCTCCAAATACATGAAGCCTGACCAACAGAAGCAGGAAGGGAAGGAAGAAACCAATAGTTTTTCTACATGGGCTGCTTTTCAGGCATATCTGTAGATGGTCCTCATTTGGCTCAGATGTTGAAGTTACAAATTGTATCCTATAAGAAAGAAAACCAAAAACCTCAGACTAGGAATCTCTGCAAGACTAGTTTCTTTTGTAAGACATCTAATTACAGGGGAGAAAATTTCTTTTATAGTTAGATTTTCAATCAGGAGCCATAGCACTCAGGCTAACTTGATCTCCTCAGTGCAAAATAATTGCTACTTCACTTCAGCAGGGTCTCCCAGGATTAAGTTTATTCATTTGGTTATTTTTCCTGTGTTTCACTCGGTGTCCCACTGCATTTTCAGCTCACAGGAGACCAACCAAAGGCAATGAGATTCCAGATTTACCTATAATAATTTCAGTGCAAGTTGGATTCCCCTAGTTGGAATGTGAATTCATGACTCTAGAGCACTCTAGTGGTCTCCTGGGGTACAGTGCAAAAAATGATCTCCACATTTTGGGAGTAGAGTGTGGAAAACAAGAGTCTGTTACTGCCACATTCCTAACGCTGCTCCAGGAGTGAGTTCACATTATCACTCTCAGATGATCCGCGCCAAGGGTGTTACGATGATTGTGGAGTGAAAAACTAGCCCTGAGGACGTGTTTTGCAGTGCTTGGGTAGGTTTGTCTGCCCAATTACGAGCCGAAAGAGAAACGACTTAATTTGGTTTTAGATGACAAGCCTTTCTTTTCTCACATTTCCACTGGTTTGTCAGGGAGAAAGAAAAGGGAGCTGGCATGCTGTCTTGATGCTCAACTGCAGGCTTTTTTCCTCCCTGAGCTTTTTCTATTTCCAATCCCTTTGTGTGCTGATGTTGCTGGACTCAGCCGTACTGTCCTGTCCCAGACAACTACTTCTTTGACTTAGTCTTACCTGCCTTTCCCAATTCTTCTGTCCTGGGGAGGGTTCGCCCTGAGTGCTGACCCTGAAGGCTGTCATCTGTCTAGGCCAGCCGTGGGCAAACTACGGCCCGCGGGCCAGATCCGGCCCGTTTGAAATGAATAAAACTAAAAAAAAAAAAAAAAGACTGTACCCTTTTCTGTAATGATGTTTACTTAATTTATATTAGTTCACAGAAACACTCCATCCATGCTTTTGTTCTGGCCCTCCGGTCCAGTTTAAGAACCCACTTTGGCCCTCGAGTCAAAAAGTTTGCCCACCCCTGGTCTAGGCCACCACACAAGATGTTCTGGAGTTGGTTACCTCCTGGGTCAATCAATGCATGGAGTAGGACTCACTCCTAACTCCTCGTCCAAACTCTAGCAGCATCACATTACACACCTTTTTTATTCTACTTTTATTATTTTATCTTTTCGTTAATCCTCACCTGAGGATATTTTTCCATTGATTTTTAGGAGAGAGTAGAAGAGAGAGGGAAAGACAGAGAGAGAGAGACATCAATGTGAGAGAAACACATTGATTGGTTGCTTCCAACCAAGGAGGAGCCTGAAACCAAGGTACGTGCTTTTATCCGGAGTCGAACCCGGGACCCTTTGGTCTGCAGGCCGACACTCTATCGACTGAGCCAACTGGGTAAGGATACACACCTGTCTGCAGGACCCACAGTTACTTCCGGATTTGACAGGGGTTTTAGAGAAGACATCTGGAGAGGTGGAATTGCCTCTTTTCAGGGATTTATGAAAACTTGAAAAAAATTCTCTTTTTTGCCTGAGTCTGCAACCTGATGCACTCCTTTACCATCTCCCAGTACACAATTTCTGGGACTTGACCATTGTTGGTCTCTGTTAGCCAGCTGGCCTTTGACCCCTGGCTCCTTGAATGCTGGTTTCTGAGCTCCCCATAGTCCCAATGTACTTTCAGGCCTGAACTATACCTCCCATTTGCAGGCCCTTTGCAGCCATCCCTTGGCTTTTTATTGTGTTTTTACCAATTCATCTGGAACACACAGCAAAAGGAATAAACATTGACTAGGAATGAAACCATTTGAAGGCTCACTAAGAAGAAAAATCTAACAATCCTAGTCAAGGTATTCTTCTTCTTCTTCTTCTTCTTCTTATTATTATTATTACTAGTGGCCCGGTGCACAAAATTCATGCACATTAAAGGGGAATTAATTAGAAGAAATATTTTAATATTGCTATTTGCCCTTTCTCTATAATAGAAGTGTCAGAGATGAAAGAAAATTAGTAAAATATATATGAAAATCTTCCTCCAGTCAGAGTCTGGGGTGCACCGTCGGACCCAGAGTCAAGTCCCCGCCCACACGCACACGCCTCAAAATCGCGTGAGACCCAGACCTGGCCTGCCCCACCCACGTCCTCAGGTCCCCCAGCCTGGCGCCATGTCCTCAGGTCCCCCATCAAGCCCCTCCACGTGGGGGGCGTGGCCTCAAGTCCTCCCCACCCCCACCTCAGCACCAGGATAGGGGTCGTGGCCTCAGGTCCCCTGACCCCTGCGCAAGGGCACAAGGACGTGACAACCATGTGCATAGTAGCTCTTTATTATATAGGATTATTTATTTTTTCAATTACAATTTGCATTCATTATTATTTTATATTAGTTTCTGGTGTACAGCATATTGGTTAGAAAGCCATACACTTTATCAAGGGGGAGCTCTTTCCTAGTCCTGAGCCTCTGGAGCAAGCTGCACACCTGATTTTCCCTGATCAGGACCCCGACTCTAGGCTATGTAGCAAAATGAAAAGAATTTGGGGGACTGGGTGGCTCCTTTAGAGCTAATTGAGTCCAGTCTCCATCTTTACAGTTAATGAATTTAAAAGTCATGAGTAGAATCCAGCTTTCTCTGTACTGTGTTATCTCCATCACCCCACCATCTTTCCGTAGAAACCGGGTCATCTTTCCTAATGCACTTGGCCCTTTTTTGGGTATCCATGCCTTCTCTTTGGCTTCCTTGGTGTTCTCTCTCTTTCTTCTCTTCCTTCCTTCCTTCTTTCCTTCTTTCCTCCCTTCCTTCCTTCCTTTCTTATAATGAGCAATCTTTTAATATAATACACCCTTCCTCTTTGGAACTTGCTATAACCTTATTTCCACAAGTTCTGAATTTTTATGGGAATAGGAAGAGAAAAAGGAAGAGGTAAATGCTTCTTCTGGAAGGTGCATCTATAATCCTCCAGTAGTGATCATGCTGGAGAGGTGAGTAAGATCCACCCTGTAATCAGAGGGACAACTGATGGGTCTGGACACAAAACCATAAATTTTGTTGCTTGTGAATATCCAGTAGAGGTTACTTAATCCTCACTTTGAACTTAGATTTGGACTACTTTAACCTAGGGGAGGCTTTGAATTTCAGGGCTAATGCAGAGTCACTAAACATCATTGGAGTGTTTCTAACCAAATTATCTTTTATTTGCTTTTATGTAGCTTTTATCGAAGTTCAAACTGAAAAAAAGTATATATACCACAATTGGCCTGTGTTAGGCTAAATATCAAAGTATAAATATGCTATGGCTGTTTGACCTGGGGATAGATCTACAACTTAAAAAGATTCTTTTTTTTTTTCTATTTTTTTTTATTATTTGCTTGAAAAGGTATTTGGGAACATTGCCAAATAGTGCAGTTTATTTTTTTAAATAACGATTATCTTAAGCCTGTCACCAAACAGCCATCTGTTATGTAATACTGAGGTAAGGTCAAGCCTAAATTATGATTTATGCTTTACATCCTTTCTTTTGATATAATTGAAATTATTTCTCACTTGTGGAATGGGAAGCCTGGAATCACCATCTTGAGGTCAAAGATCTTACGAATTCATAGCTCTCCTGTCTCAAAGATGTGTCTAACTATAAATCCATTAGAGAGCGAGATTCAAATTGCTGAATGAAGCCTCTGCAAGTATTTATATGAACAGTGCATTATTTTATATCCTTATTTTCGCTCTGTTCTCTTCCTATTTCAACTGTTTTCTTCTTCCTGCATTACATATATTGTCTTATTTCCAATGTCTACCTTCACACCCTCCTCTGATAAGCACCTTCATTTATACTTCAGGTTTAGTTTGCACAATCTCTCATGTCTCACCTTGATTTCCTGAGCCACCCTCCCCTATTCTTTGTCAAAAACCACTTCTATGCCTGTTTTAAGAGGTTGGATCATTAAAACAGGAAAAGATGCATCTCTTCCCTGCCTGAGAGACCTTCAACCACTGGAATAAAAAAAGTCCTAGCCATGAAACATGATTACATATAGGTACTCCTAAATGCTCACTATACTCATATCTGCATATTTGTCTTATTTTGATATTAAGGGGAGAGGGAAATGGATGAGCTCCTAAGGAAACGAGTATATAAGAAAAGACACAGCATTCCCAAACTCTTTGAATCAGGAGCAAGTCTTTGGTGGCAAATTTGTTCCTTGCTCTTGACTGTGCTATTTGGGGCACAAGCGTGGCTATTAAACAATTTACTGATAATCCAGTCAGAATTAGGGACCTAGAACTAAACTTTCCAAGGAGCCCTGCTGAGATATGGTGCTTCATGAAATTGTCTTACTAAGCACAGTCACCTGATCCTGGAATTTAGCCAATAGGAGAGTCTCGGTCTGTGCTGGCTTCAGCAGTGTTTGGGGGTCCTGGCCAAACCATCAACAAAAGGGTCAGGCCTCCCTCACAGCGTCTCTTTCTGATTAGTCCAACGTGGTGATTGAAAGCGAATATCCCAGGGATAAGTATAACTTTAAGCAGCACATATTTCGCTTAGTATCCTCAAGAGAAAGTTATCATCCTCTTCAGACCAGCTGGCCAAAAGAATCTCAGATAGGGACCCTGACACCTGCACAACTTGTGGTCAGTTGGGACACAGTGGCCTCTTGGTGTTCAGTATTCTATTGAGGGGGGTGCATCTTAATCCTCTGTATTTAATCTACCAACGCAGATAGATATAAATATAAGTGTTTAAACTTACGGGCATTTTTTCCCCATCAATACTTTGAAAACTCTAAATGTAAGTTCTCCATTCAGAAGGGTCAGACATTGAGAATGTTTCCTTCCAAGAGCAATGTCGGTGCCTTGTGTTTTTGTGTGTAACTATATATGGTTTGTCCTATTTCAGCCATATTTACAGAAGACAAAAACACCACAGAGCCTGCTTATAAGGTTAAAAATGCCCCATCCATTCCCAACACTCCAGAGCCAACAGCAACGCAAGAACCCCTGGTGGGCAGCCAAAAGAGAAAAGCAAGGAAAACCAAGATCACACACCTGGTCAGGACAGCAGATGGCCGGGTGTCACCAGCAGGAGGTACTTTGGGTAAGAAGAGCGAGCTTTAGACAGAGATAACCAAATCAAGCAGCTGACCCTCATGGCCACTTGGGCCAGCAAGTGACTATACGCCAACTGCGGGTTTGGTCACAGTGACATTTTCTCTTTCTGGGTCTCCTTGATAACTAGTTTTCTACAGACTCCCAAATGTGCATGTTTTCGTCTGCGCTTTAAAATCATAGATCTTTTTCCAAGAGCATATCTTGATTTCCTAGAAAGGAAAGGTAATTTTCAGGGCTGTCAGCTTCTCCTTCCCTTTCTCAGCATGCACAGAAACAGTGTTGGTTAAGGAAATTCCCAAAGATCCCAGGCTTTTAAAAATCCTGGATGAATCAGTGTTTCTCCATGGCTCACTGCTCAAGTCAGTGAGAGAAGGCACTTTAGGAAGCATCCAGCACTTCTGCAAAGCTGACTAAGCCCACCCAGGGAGCTCAAGCATGCTTCTGGATTACTCTCGTTCTCTGGGCTAATCTTTAACCAACTCTTAACTTACCGTGAATTTCTCCATTTTCAGTTGTGGTCTGGGGTCTGTTTGTTGTTCCTGGTGGTCTCCATGGCAGTAGAATTGCCTGATGGGATCAGAGCTTGAAACTGAGCATCCTCCCTCAGATCTTGGGGTGCAACGCCACCTCAGCATTAGTGCTCTGAGCTGTTGCCATGTTGCCTTTCAGCACCTCTCTCATCTCTTTCTGTCAGTCCCGAAGGAAGGGTCCCTCCCCGCCACCCTAATTCAGGAGCCGGAAAAAGGTCGAAGGTCCATAATGAATTCAATAAATAGGAGAAAAAAATGTTTAAATGAGTGTTTTTTGAGAGCAAGATTTATAAATATCTGATTTTAATTAATCTGCTTGTTAATAGAGATTCATTATTTCCTGAGATAGAATTAGAGAACAGTTAGTGAATTTTGTGCATTTCTCTTGTTTTGCATATGTAGATTGATAGAATAAGAAAACATATTAAAGATCCCTGAGTTTTCCCTGTCACATAAGAGCTGAGGCTCAAAGGGGAACACTTTTGTTTTGAATGCTTTGAACTACTAAGCAGAAGTATGATGAAGATTAGAAACCAGGTTTCCTCATATTTAGTCCAGCAGGCCCCTCCCTTATTTCCTTTCCACCGTGGGTTCTGCTCTGTGGTTTTCATTTTGTAAATGGTTATAGCCTCATTTTTACTTGGAGGAAGAGTGAAAGATTTTAGAAAATACTTTCTTTCATGTAGGAAAGCACATAGCACTTTCAGTTTCACTTACTATATGGCAATTTACTGCCTTTATCAATTATTTTATGTGGTTGAAATGTTTTTAAAGTCATGATAACACCTGCCCTCTATCTGGGCTACACAGTAAGGGTACTCACTTCCAATAGGCATATTGGCTTTATCTTTCAGTAGGTCTTAGAACAAAAGTGACAGCTTGGGGTCTCGTTTATGATTGAAATTTCATTGGGGTTAGTGTTGCCACCCTAAGTGTTATCATACCATACCGAGTGTCAGGGTTGCCCTGGTAGGTAGGGCAGCTGCAGCTTCATCAGAAACATTTGGTCAGTCGGTTTTTAAGGGCCCTTTACTGCATCCATCAGCCCCTCTGCAGAAGTCCCTTGGGCTGTATATTGACTAAGCCCATTTTTCTATCTCCAACACTGACCTATTTGACCTTGAATGATACGCAGCTTCTCTGCTCAGCATCAGGACACAGTGCTGCCCACCGCTGCAGTTGAGCTTAATAAGAGTTTTGTGACCATGAGAGAGATTCTGTAAAAGCCTTACTATTCAGTGGATGACAAAAGTGAGCCGTGAAGAATGTTACCTCATTTCACATTGCCTAGCACGGAGTTTTCTCTGCAGAAAACAGAGGGGGCCTCTCCTGATGGATTTCTCTTGCGTTGCAGATGACAAACCAAAGGAACTGCAGAGGAGTCTCCCTAAAGTCACTGAGACAGGCTGCCATGACGCGTGCGCACACAGCAGCGAGGCCGCGGAGACACGGAGCAGCACTCCCGAGATGCCTGCCGTGTCTGCATTCTTCAGTCTGGCTGCGCTGGCTGAAGTGGCCGCCATGGAAAACGTGCACAGGTTAGTGGTGGGAGCCTTATTCTGCCAGGGAACCTACCTGTTCACTGTCACCCCTTGCACAGAGCATAGGTGGAGAAAGCAGCATAGGAGACAAAAATCAGCCTTTCTGACGTCATCTGTGATATTTTCACAATGTATTGGGGTTCACAAGACTTGGTTCAAGAGCACCTCTGTTTACGTGAGGTTACGAAAGTGTGTGTGCTAATTGATTATCAGTGAGAATGTAGCCAGCCAAGTGTTTTATTTTGAATGCATTATTCTGTGGCTAAACTTTTATTTGTCTAAAAAGCCTGAGAGAACAAAGCAGCAGCATTCTCAAATCATTAAGCGTGAGATTTGGAGTCAGGCCTCAGACCTGGGTTTGAGTCCGAGCTCTGTCACTTGCAAATTGCAAGGTCTTGAGTAAGGTCATTCATTCACCTCTGTACCTTGTTGTTTCTCCTTATAAAATGGGTGCAGCCGGTACTCATTCCATAGACGTGTTATGCAGAATAAATCTAATGTCCCAGTGTCAGCAGGCCATGCATGAGGAGGGTCAGTGGCCGTGGTGGTACCAGCAGAAGAAAACAGAGTTGGTTCAGGAAAAAGACATCTGACTCACAGCAGACAGAAGGCCTGGATTTATCTTCCACTCTGTGTTTGCTACAAAGTAATTTCATTCTTGGGCCGCAGTTTTCTCTTCCTGCTTTGAAAACAACACTGTCCCCAAAGAATCACCTGGTTGTAAGGATCAGCCAAGATCGTAGACGGGGAAGCCTGTGGAACTCGGGGAAGCCCATGGAAAGCATATCAACTTCTAAGTGCAAAATGGAGCGTTTGCTACTTCCTGGACCTTTTGGGAAGGCAGAAAAGACTTTTGTAGATTCAGGGATCTCATTTTTATTCAATGTGGATTACCCACAGATGAGCTACCTTCTTAACCTTTCAGTCTTCAGTACAAAGATCTTGGAATCATGGATGACTTGTATACCCACCTGGCAGGCTCCATTCTCCTTAATCACATCAGGCTTAGCAGGCCCAGATGGAAGCTTTGTTTGCTGCTTTCTCTTTATCTGTCATGTTGCCGTTCCAGTCCTGGCTCACAAATAGCCTCTAGATATTTACAGCAGGTCAAATTTCTTTTCGTGTGTGCACTGCAAGTGCCTAACAGCACGTGAATGCTGACAGACATTGTTAAAATCCGCTCAGGTCTCTGCGGGCCTGAGGAGAGAAATGCACAGACACTTCTCCACTCGTGGAGTTTCGCAGTCGAGCACAGAGGACAAACTCATACGCTTACACAAAGAATTAAATCTGTGCCCCCATAAACTGTGGAAATAGGTAATGTAAGAATCAGGGGGGGGTCATATTTCAGGGCTCAGAAACGGCTACTACACAGTCCCCCTTGCTGTTGACAGTGTTCTCTTCTGAACAGGACTGTGGTCACACCAGGGCTGTCAGCCAGCCTTCCACACCTCCCGGTTCCCAGCAGTGAGCACCTCAGCCAACCATTCCTTCCTACCCCCACCCCCACCCACCCCCGAAGGCAGGGGACACGGCTGGCAGTCCGCATGGGCCGAGTCCTTCCTTGCCTTTGCTCCTCCTTCCTGGCCCCGTTCTTTGTCCTCTCCTCTCACTGCTCCTGCAGTCTGCACTCTCCCCATGTGCCTCTCATAGACCCGCCACCATGTTGGTTCGTAACTGTTTGCCCACACTTATGTCTCCTTCCAGTGTATTTTGAAAAAAAAAAAAAAAAAAAGCACTGGTTTTATTCTCCATATCCACAGCTTCCTTAGTTCCTTTCACTTCAATGGTTGAATGAGCGAGGAGTTGTTGTTTGTTTGTTTTTTTTTTTAACCTCCCAGTAGAACAGTGGTTCTCAACCTTCTGGCCCTTTAAATACAGTTCCTCTTGTTGTGACCCAACCATAAAATTATTTCCGTTAATACTTCATAACTGTAATGTTGCTACTGTTATGAATTGTAATGTAAATATCTGATATGCAGGATGGTCTTAGGGGACCCCTGTGAAAGGGTCGTTCGACCACCAAAGGGGTCACGACCCACAGGTTGAGAACCACTGCACTAGAAGAACGATATTGCTTACTAAAATTTTACTGTCAACTTAGCAAATGGTTAGTGTTCTGACTACCTAGAAAGACAGATTCTCCCCAGGAATCTTAGTTGTAACTTTAGCCCCTACGTGTTAAAGCAGAGCTACCGTCCACCCCTCTACCTACAGACCTAATGTAATTGTACCTGGTTGCACATCAATTAATTATTGCATTTAGAGAGTGGTCAACAGAGTTGGGGTAGAAATACGTTACTGGCTGTTACCTGCATTCTTGCCACAAGAAATCTTAACATTAGGTTTAAAAATCCAGGGTAGAAAGGCAGTTCTACAAAATGCATGACACAGGAAGTTTCATAAACCTATGTTGAGAACCTGTTTATTTATGAGGAATTTTATAAGGAGGAAAGTTCATTAAAGTTAACCCTAAAATTGGCCCTGCTAGATGGGTCTTTTTAGTCCCATTTGAATGTTGGCCCAAATGCTGAATTAACTTGCCAGGAGCGTGCAGCCAAACTGAGTTAAGATATCGACCCAGGTCCTTGAATCCAGTGTCCTTGACGTGGCTCCACGGCACTGCGTTAGCATCTCTCATGTCCTGGCAGGTCAAGAAGGCTCTCCGACCCTTCCTCCCCCGGGAACGAGGGCCATCAGTGCGTTGCACCCACATCATTCTCGCCCATCACACGCCAGCCTTCCTTTCCCATTGATTAAGTTGGACTTTCACCCCAATTTCTCCCCCTCTTGCTCTCTCTCTCTCTCTTTTTTTTTTTACATTATCCTTTTCTTGTTTTACTTTTTTTTCTTGTTTCTTTTTCTCATACTTATTAAAATTCTTTTGGTTTTATAATGTTATTACATATTCAATCTTAAAGGTAAAAAGTAGCATTTTAATTTCATCTTTCTGGAGCAGAGTTGAACATATTGAACAGTTGGTGTTTATTCCCTACATGAATAAACAGATTAATCCAAAAGTGTGATTGTAATACACGTTTTGTTTTTCTGAAAGCCTAATATCTTAGGCTAAGCGATCATTGGATTCTCACATCCCCAAATGTTGTCATTTATCTACATTGCTTTTTTTTCTGTGCACCAAGAAACAGGAATTGGATATAGTTGTGGAGCAAATATAATTTGAATTTTAAAATAGCACCTTTTGTTCCACATAATCTGAAGAAGATACTATATTGGAACCTTAAAACCAGTGAAGACATTGTTGCTACATTGCATTCCTCGGTACAGTGCCATGTGCCCTGCAGACCACTATGGGCCAGAGCAGTGGGATGCAGCATGCAGGCCACCTAGGCCTGTTGGAAAATGTCAAAGAGGCGCCCAAGTCTATCTTTTCAGACTAAGAAGCTCTGTATAAATCACCAAGAATTTAGAAAAGTTTTGTTATAACTATGAAATAAAACGTATTTTGTCCTACTTGTTAAGCTGAAGCAGAGTGGGGAGGGGGGAAAAATCAGCTATGTTCAATGTAGTTCCAATCCAAGTAATGGGATTTTCCATGAATGTTCTAGCTTTGCCTAGAATTCTCTCTCCATGTGTGTTGAGTTTGGCCCAAATTAACTGGGTTTTCTCACACTCTAAAATGTAATCAGTACTTGCCTTTTCCCCTCTGCGCTCTTTCTCCATATGCCTGTGAAGCTTTTCTTAAGTTAGGAGGGTGTCAGTGTTTCCACATAGTTTTTGTGCCCTGGTACACCTCTTCCTCTCCCGGGACCACTGCTGTTACTGGCCTTAGGCTTTCACCGGTGTGTTATTACACCACTTAAGAAAGGAGCCTGGAGGTCACCAATTAGTGCAGCAGAGTGTTCCCCTCAGGCAAGTCAAGCAAAGGATCCTGTCCTTGTTTAATTTCAGTGGATCCGGGGGAAGACTATTGTCCCGCACCTCAGCCCTTGGCTTAAAGTTTCCCAATTCTGAGGGCATTTCCCAAATCTGTTGTTGCTTCAGAGTCTACTAAATGGAGGTGGTCAGTTGGATACAGAACATTTTATTGAGTTGTGTGAGAAATCCTTCAAAGAAACAACAACAATATATGGAAAGAAAGTGACTCTAAGGACAAAGTTGGCTTTCATTAAACAGCATAAGTAAAAAGTCAGCAGAAACTATTAAACAAATTATTGGGAAGTGCTGTGTTATTCATCATCCTCTCCTATTTCTGACAACATACTCTGAATAGTGATTTTTTTCTCTCTCTTGCTTCACAGAGGTCAGAGGTCAACTCCGCTCACCCACGATGGACAGCCAAAAGAAATGCCACAGGCTCCTGTACTTATTTCCTGCGCTGACCAGTGAAGCGCCCTTCAATTGTAAAACATTGTGCTTTACCTACTACCCTAGCCTTGTCTTTACCGAGGGATGCTAGTGAGTTCATGTGGTGGGAAATATAGACTGCAAACAAGTGCTTGTTGCCCTACATGGCCCAGATTCACTTGAAGCAGAAGTTAGCCTCCTGGGCCCATTTGTTTGTTCAGAACCCAGAGTCTTTGTGGGTGATGTTCTCTGTCTGATCATGAGCAGAAATGGAATGATCCTGGAGCTTTGCTTTCTATTGAAGGCTGTTGACGGTAATAGGTGGTAACTTGGTAAAAGACTGCCTTTACTGTAGCTCATCCAGCAGCTCTTTTACCAACCAGAGAGTGTGAAACTAGTTTCATATATTACCTAGTTATTCTTTCAAAACAAAAACAAAAAAACAAAAACAAAACTGACGCACTGCACTAGTTATTATTAGATATTCTTAGTCTTTTTGTACATGGAGATTTAAGTTCTAAGATGGTTTATATAATAGGTTATACCTACATTTATATTGTAGAATAATATTAAAAAGCCTGTTCCGAGACTCCCACGCAGCATGGGCAGGCAGATGTACCATTGTTAGCGGTGTATGCTCGGCCTCGTGGTCCATATATTCTGCACTTTTATATTTGCCACCAGAGCGGTAGTTTGCTGGCAAAAAAAAAAAAAAGAGAGAGAGAGAGAAAGTACAATTCTTAACAAGCTGAATTTTTTTCTTAGCCTTGAGTGACCAAGAATAATTTGCTTGGGGCAAATTGTGGCAAATATTTACCTGGACAGGGGAAGAGTCCTACAGATTACAGATTTCTGATGTTTTCATGCCTTGAGGATTCTTTTATTTTTACACAGGGGTCTAAGTGGGTCTAAGTGACCAATGGATCGTTCATACAAACAAACAAAAAAAAGAGAAAAATATTATTCAGAAGTGACCTTAGTATTACTTCACTATTCTGAACACATTGAAGACACTCACTTCATGTGGACCTGGAGCCACAGACCTTTCCATCCATCCCAGACAGACTGGACGGGTAGCAATTGCTATGCACAGCCTCGCTGGCGCTGCAGGTGTTTAGAGCCATTTCGAGTTTGTGTTGTTAAGGAGGTATTGAGTCACTGATACCGGAGGTATGCCTGAACAGAGTGGGACTCAGTCACAGGCCCACCTGCAAGTTTCTGTTTCCTTTCTGTGTTTTGTTGCTTTTGAACATAAAACCCACCATACATATGCCAGTGCCAAGTGGATTAACTGGCTTTGAACATTCAACATATTGACTTAACCACCTGATGTTCACAGTGTCTTGTTTCCTAGCAACAGATGCAAAGTGATAAATCCAAATTAGTCAGAGGCTACAGATTTTACAGGGTATTTCTTCCATAGCACAAAGTATCTCCCCACTCTTGCATTGCAGCACAAACTACCAAATTTCAATGATTGGATTCCAGCAATAATTTTTATTGGTTTTCAAACTGGCGGGATTTTGATAGTGTTAGTTCAGGTTTGAAGCTTTTGAATTAGATCTCTAAATGGTGACAGTTTACAGGTTTTATCTAGCTTTCTTATTTATACTTGACTGAATTGTAATGATGATTTTTTTCTAATCGTAATTTGACCTAATAGCCATATAAAAAGTGACTCTATTAATACTGACTAGGTTTAGCTTTTCATGGTTGTAGATATTACTTCAGTTTCGGTGCTGGAAAATATGTACAACATACTAACAGAATGGAAGACTCTAGAGGGGTTTTTTCAAAGCAGGTAACGAGGGCAGTAGAGCATTGGTGTGACATTCTCAAAGGTGCACACTCATTGTGCATCTATGGAGGAAGAAGGAATTAGTAAGCAAGGTTAATCAGCTTTTATAGCTTAACCCCAGTCACATAGAAATAAATCAGGTGAGCAGCCCCAAATTTCAGCATAGCCTTTTTACTACGATGCTGTTTTATTAATGTTTTCTAAATCTCAAAACACAAATTGAATGTTTGGAAATTGCTGGGTCCCAGTGTTGGTGGCTGTTAGAGGAGTTTTTGGACCACTTGCTAGCAGTGATTTTAAAATTATTATTAGCTAAAATCCAAAAAAATAAACCCAAACAAACCAACAACAAAAATTGTGTGGTGCAGAACATGCATCTTGACAATGGTACTAACTTGTTATTCTATAGAACATGTTAGAATAGGTCTATTTTTGCCAGAGCACCCTCCTTCAGTCCTCCGATTACATTTCACTAGAGTTCCTCAAGAGATTGCTGTATATTCATGGGACCTTTTTTTAAAAAGAAGCAAAACAAAAGATTGCTTTTTTTCTATGTGATTACTATCTTACTTGATCTGCTTTTCCTAAACCTCAGTGGCTTTTCCCTTAGGCAGGGTGGGAGTGGGAGGGCAACCTACTGGATATGACTGTTTTCAGATACTTAAAAAAACACACACAAAAAAAACCCCACCTTTTTTGTAGAAATGCTTAATTTTTAAGCAGTTAGGCACTGAGAGTAGCAGAAATCCTGCAAAGCTTTATAGTTCTTTAGACACTCGCCTTGTTGTTTCTCTGAGTGCAAGTCTTGATTTCAATACTAGTGCTTTTCTCATGCCCTGAACCCGCTGGAGAGGGGTGTTGGTATATTCAGGTAACAACATTTGTTAGCACAAATATTTCAGACCAACATGTAGTCCCCACCGCTACTTATCATTTTCATTTCATTTCTCTCATTCTTCTTTATTTTGGAAAATCAATCGTATTGCTATAGTGTGTACTTTAATCTGCCAGCAAACACCATCTACACTAACCTTTGTCCCATAAGCACCCTCAAGAGGAGAAGTTGTTGCACCTTATGTATATCTCAAGCAAACCAAAATACGATGCTCTTCTGCTCTGTTGTATTCTAAATTGTTGTATCATATCTTTCTGAAACCATTCTGAATTTAGTTGAAATTATCAGTATTTATACTTTTAACCTTAATTTCTGGATTCAAACCTGTATATAAATATTTTGAAAAAAATTGTCCTAGCCCTTCTCTGTGATGCTGGAAGTGGATAGTTCAGTCTCTGATGGAGACAGTACTGTTCCAGTTTCCTTTTGCCTTTTATTTATTTAGTTACTCTGGGTATTTCCTATGTAATTTTGAAGTGTGTAGAGTATATTATAGTAACTGAAGCTACAGCTCTAAGAAGCTGAGTGAAAGAAAAAAATACTGTAAGACACCCTTTTAAGTTTGCATTTGTTTGGATACTGTAATGAGATCAGGAAAAGGAAAAGTGTCCCACCACCAGGTTGAAGATACAGGTTCTTATCCCCAAATTAGGTTAGTTCCCAGATTTTTAGATCCAAAGTGTTAATTCACTAAAAACCCCTTTACAGGCTAAATCATACTGTTGTAATCCTGACAGACTTCTATCAGAAATATATTTATTTAACTCTATCAGATGAGCTTTCTACCAATGCCATCTCAAAGCCGAAATGCTGACATTCCCACGCTATCACTGATACTCTAGTTCCTGCCATTAAAACTGCTGGAGGGAAACAGTGACGGCACACTACGGTCGAGGAGCATCGGAACTGGCCTGGATGCTGGGACCCAGGATGCCTAATCCGTCATGTTCTTATTAAGGCAGGTGCCACCCTGCCTAAGTCATCCACAGGCACTCCGCAGTATTTGGCTCTTCATAGGACAGTATTTGCACCTATGTAAAAGCTAAAGCAAATTTTAAATTGATACAGAACCAGGAGGAAGCTGACACTGAATGACATCTTTTGTTTCTACAGTATGTG